TGAGTCGATACACTAGCAACCCCAGTCATGAAGACTGGAAGGCGCTACTAAGAGTATTATTGTAATCTTAAATTTACTCTGAATTTGGCATACACTATGCGAAATATCCACCAGTACTCAAAGGGTACTACGATGCCAATTGGATATCCAATGCAAAAGACTCACTGTCTATAAATGGATATCAGTTTAAGATTGGAGAAGGAGCTGTTTTGTAGAAATCCACGAAACAGACGTGCATTGCACGGTCCACAATGGAATAAGAATTCATCGCCTTGGACAAAGCTGGTGAAGAAGCCGAATGGCTGAGGAACTTCATGGATGATATTCCATACTGGACTAAACCAGTACCTCCAGTAATGATTCACTGCAATAGCCAAGCTGCAATAGCAAGGTCTAAGAATGAAATTTACAACGGTAAATCCCGATATATCCGACATAAACATAATACTGTAAGTTAATAGATCACCAGTGAATTTTTGACTATTGAATATGTAAAATCAATAGAAAACCTAATGGATCCGCTAACCAAGAGGTTGTAGAGAGATCAAATGTACAAACTGCTAAAAGGAATGAGTTTGAAATCCACAAGATAGACACTTACAATGGTAACCCAACCAAATCACTTGGAAATCCCAAGCCTTGGTTCAATGGGAAAACTAAGCTGTGAGAGTACGGCACAAACACTCAAATACAATTCTCTGAAAAGCAATGAGTGTTAAAATGTGCAAAAGTGGTGAGGTTGAGTCAATTACTCGTAATGATCCTAAATGTGTGAGTTACATACCTTGAGATAGAATTACCTATTTAAGTGTGAAATGTGGACCGCTTAAAATAGAAAACTTATGAATCCAAAGACTAGATCCATGTCCGAAATGGATCAAAATGTGAGAACAAAGTTGACACTGAGATAGCGACACATCAATATTATTGACTAAGTGCACACAGATGTGGAACAGTTCAATGCATCACATCAATTGAGCCATCGTGCAACACGAACATGGAAAACCCAATCACAGTCAGGTAGAAGAGTATCTTTTCCTGCCACCTCATAAAGTCCACTCTAGTGAATGGTTATGGAACTTGTACATGGGACATCATACATGGGCCAAGCCCAGGACCAACAGTTTGGGCCGCGAATGAAGCAGAGGGTGCGGTCACAAACTTAGGAAAGCCCCCACATCCCCCTAAGGCAAATCCAGAAAACATAGGGCTACCCATAATGGGAACTGGCCCAAGTGGAGGAGCGTCTACCTTGACTGCGGCGCCGGTGACTCCTCCGGCAGTAGCTTCGGCGACTCATCCGGCGGTTTCTTCGGTGACGGCTCCGCGCGGCTCCTCTAGCAGCGGTTCCGGCGGCTCTAGTGGTGGCTCCGGCGGCGACTTCAGCAGCGGTTGATATTTTCGCAAAGTAGTATCTAATTTTTTGATTTTTTTTAAATGGGTATTGCGAGAATAACGTCTACCATGAAACCAAGTGGATGATGGATTATCTTTCCGAAAATTAGATACACCCTGGTAGTGCCTCTGGTGGTTGGCATTCTAACCCAAAAATAAAACGGTTTCCATCTCGAATAAGAGTTGCACCTCTAATCGTTGGAGTTCCGACGAACAAAGCGAGAGAGAAACTGAGGTTGGGAGGTTTTCAGAAAGCTAGAAGAGATGAGAGAAGGAGGAGAGAGTTGTTGATGTATTTAGAATGAAGGGGGAGGCCTCTTTATACAGGCATTTCCACTCGACCAAAATGGCAAGAGATCGATTACGATCATAATTACGACCTTAATTACTAATTTAATTTATTCTAAATTTAAACTTTCCGTTTGAAGCGGTCGTAATTGATTCTATTAAAAACTTTCCGTTTGTGACGATCATAATTTATTCTAATTTCAAGCCTTCCGTTTGAAACGATTGTAATTTATTCTAATTTCAAAAATTTCGTTTGAAATTATAATAAATCTATCCAACGGATAATACTCTATCCATATAATATTGCGACTTAGGCCATATACCCGGGTTTAATTTGGGGCTGCACAATTTGGTTTGTCTCGAGACAGACAAAATAGTCAAAATATTAACCAAATCCCATATACAATAAATAAATAATATTTATTTATTTCTTCCAAATTAATCTAATTAATTTGGTACACTGGCCCATCGCATTTTCACTCACCAAATAATTGGTTGCAAAATAACCGATTATCCAACACGTAGCTACTGCTTCAGCACATATTTTTTTGGAACACCCTTTGCGATGATCATGCTTCTATCCATCTCAACAATGGTGCAATTTTTACGTTCAGTTACGCCATTTTACTCTAGTGTGTATGGTAAAGTCAACTCATTATGAATTTCATTCTCTTTAAAAAAACTCAATGAACTCACATGAAACAAATTCACCACCTTGATCAGTCCAAAGTGTTTTAATTCGGCACCCACTTTGTTTCTCCACCAACTCCTTCAATTTTTCTGAAATTTTCGAAAGCCTCTTAGTTACTTTTCAAGAAATAGACTCAACACATCCGAGTGAAATCATCCACAAATAGAAAAAAATATCGACTCTCTCCAAGAGACTCCACAGACATAAGCCCACACAAATCCGAATGAATGAGCTCAAGAAAAAATGATGCCCTCTATGCTTTTCCCACTAGAAATGAAGGCTTGGTCCATTTTCCATAAACACACCCTTCACAAAAATTTAGACTATGAAGTTTAGGTAGCCCAAGAACCATGCCTTTCTTCACAAGCATATGCAGTGCTTTAATGTTTAAGTGACCATATATGTTATGCCAAAGTTTAGTTTCTGTATCCATATTAGCGACAAAGGCACAACCAAGCTTCACATCCAGAGGGAACATCTTGTTCGATGTCATCTTAACATTGAAAATCTTTCTACTGGTCTTGTTCTCAGTGATGTCACATGATTCGTCATTAAATAGAACCAAACAACCACTCTTCAATAGTTGTCCAACACTTAGTAAATTATGAGCAAGTGATGGGACATGTTGTACCTTACAAATAAATTTTGTATTGCCTTCGGTGGTTCTAATCATAACTTTACCTCTACCCTCAACATTGATTGGCTTGTCATTACCAAGACGAACTTCTGATTTTTCTGTCTCGTCCAGATCTTTGAACAATGTTTTTTTTTTTTTTTTTACCACATATATGATTGTAACACCCACTATCAATAAACCAAACATCATTGATTACATTATTCGTAGTGGAATGAGTAATGAGTAGATTACTCTTCTCTTCATGTATTATGGTGAAGTTTGCATGCTTCTGGTAATCCTTTTGTTTAGACCAGCAACCAACCTCTTTATGCCCGTACTTTTTGCAATAGTGGCATTCTCCAGAAAAATAATTGCATCGTCTTCCTTGACCACAATTTATACCACAATAACAACTTCTTTCTTGACCTCTACTTGTTGTGTTATCCGGCTTCTTCCATAAAGTAGAATCTTCCTTGCCCTTAGATTGAAGCTCTCCCTTCATTTGGAAAGCCCTTTCTTCGGTTTTCTCAGTAGATCTATTCAACCGATCCTCATGACTTAATAAGGAATCCATCAACTTATCAAAAATGTAAGTAGATAAGTCCGTCTCTTCAATAACCACAACAACATGATAAAACTTTGAGGTTAAACTTCTCAAAACTTTGTTCACCACAATATTATTATTTATTTCGTCACCATAGGACTTCATAAGATTAACAAGCACAGGCACCCTTGAGAGACAATCTTGCAAAAATTCTTTTCTCTCATTGACAACTCAAAATCACGACGCAGGGTTTGCAATTTTACCATAATAATATTCTCATCTCCCAAATATTCCTGCTTAAGGATATCCCATGTTTGCTTTGACGTATCGACTGTTGTAATCTGGAGAAAATACTATTACCAAGAGCCTTCTGAATAAGGAAGAACATCTTGGCATCCTTCTTTCGATTATCCCTTGCTGCATGTGCGGTTCAGATCTATCATCGACGAACCCTGTCTCTACTATATCCCAAAGTTCTTGAGATTTGAACAAGGTTTTTATTTTTAAACTAAAAAAAATGATAATATTCCCCTTTAAACATTGGAATTGAAACCTGAGAACTCGAATTGTTGGCCATGATTGAGATTCACCAATTCTTTCTCGATCAGTTTACTGATTGCTGGTGTCCTCCATTATGCGCCTCTCGCCAAACTAAAACTCGGTAGCTCTAATACCAAATTTTTTTGGGGGAAAGCTTCGTAAACTCCATCAATTTTTTACATATGACGGCTACAAGGAAGAAGAAGAAGAATATGCGTATATTATTATTTTTTGAATTCAAAAGTTCAACAATAAAACAAAAGATACGAATATTAAAATTGATTTCATAAAATCAACCCAAATAGAAAAGTAATAATCACTTTTTATTTGAATACTTTATTTAGATAATGCCTTAATATATTTATAATATTAATATCATAAAATATTTAAAATATTTGAAGCATATTATTCAATGTATAGCTCACTTATTGAGTAAGAAAACAGGATGAAATAAGTTTCCTTACCACTGAAATTGAATGGGGGCAATTCTCCATGCATTTGACATTATGTTGACTATCTTCATTCATCTCATTTGTCTTGTATATGTATTTGTATTGTATATATATTTTTGGAAACTGTCCATACGTAGGAAAATAATTTTGACACTTTTGTCCGTATGCCAAAAAAATAAAAAAATATTTATATTTAACAAATCCAATATAAGGAGAACCTAGTCTTTATTAATTAATTTATTTTCCAAGAAATAATAATCAATGGAAAAACAAAAACCTTATCTTACAACTCGTACATTAATTAACTCACTAACTAGCAAAACGTACGCAGTAGTAAGTTTTGTTTCTAGCTACAAAAACCTTTGATTGAAACAACTTAAGTGGTGGGATCCCATCCGCAGGTGGTGATGGAGCTCGCTGTATGTATATATATATGTATATGGATGTGGTGTGGCGTGAGTGGTGCGGTTTGGGTCAGGCGGCAGGCGCGGGAAGGCCAGGAGGTGCGGGAGCACAGACGGGCGGATTCTGCCTGCCGACGAATGTGGGCTGTACGTTGGAGCACTTAGTTTTGATGGGGCCATACACCGGATCCCCAACGTAGGTAATATCCACGTCGCCAATCTCGATGGCCTCGCAGGGCTTGGCGCTGCTGCAAGAAAGAACTACGGCCTCGCAACTGTTGGCAGTCCCCCTGACGTTCTTCACGCTCACACCCGAGATCTTGATGGAGGAGGCTTGCTGCAGCATATGTGTGTGTATATATGATATATGATATATGATAGGATCCACGAAAACAAAGAGAGGATGGCTTTAATTATTTATTTTTTTACCGTTCTGTCGCATTGATTCCAGGGGCAGTACTCCTGATCAATGATGATGGGATTGCTGACATTGTCGACGATTATGTCCTCGAAATGAATATTGTTTATGCACAAGGTGGCCGGCCCGTTAGGCCATGTCTTAATTCTAACGCCATTCTGTGTCCCTTTGAACGTCACGTTCTGCACATATATTCCATTCACATCCTTTTCGTTCGCAAACTTGCCCATGCTTCCAATGCTGACGCCGTGGCCCGGACCGCAGGTTACATTCTGGACGCGGATTTCACAGGTCTCGTCACCGATGGAAACACAATCGTCCCCAGTTTGTATGATGGAGTCGATCACCGTGATCTGTGAGGAACGCCCGATGTGAATTCCATCGGTGTTTGGGCTCTCCCCCGGCGCGCTCACCATGAATCGTTGGAAGGTCACGTTGTGGCTCGAGATACAGTTCACGTGGAAGTTCTTGCTGTCTTTTGTGGTCACGTCTCGGATAACCGTGTGGTTGATGAAGTTGAAGCTCAAGTTCTGCATGTTTAGTTTGATGAAAATATACTTGTTAGAGGATAATGATTATGGATGTTGTTGTTTGATATATCTATGTATGTATATCTACGAAACTAAAATTATTTAATGAACGCTTGCTTCTTCTTCTTCTTCTTCTTCTTCTTCCTCTTACCATGGGGAGTTTGGCACATTTCTGGTTCTTGTTGCAATCATTTTGCTTCCATGCCATCTCGCCCATGCCGTCGAAAACTCCTCCTCCGTAGATGGTTAAGTTGCTGATGTAGTTAATGGTTATCCATTCGCATTCTTTGTCGGGCAATGCTTGCGGATCCGGTGATGCTTGAACGGTGCCTTGAACCACAAGATCGATAGGGGCCAGGCTAGGCCCGCACAGCTTCACTTGGCTTAAACACCAATTCCCTGGTGGAATCAATATCTGAACCGGCACCGGCGATGCAATCGCCTCTTTCCAAATCGCTGTTAAGGCCTGTTGCATTCGTCCATTTTATTTTATCTGGCCACATATATAAAATTAAAATTATGGACTATAATAGCTACCTGAGCAATGTCAACGCCGGGAGCCGCGCCGTACTTGGTGATATCCTTTAGGCAGGGCGCTTGTCCGGGCACTTGCGGGGCACCTGGCCCTGGTAACTGACCGGGGGGAACTAGGGGCGGCCCCTGACCGGGAGGAACCTGCGGCGGACCCTGACCCGGGGGAACTTGTGGAGGACCTAGCCCTGGAAACTGTGCGTTGGCTTCGAATTCAAACACCGATATACAAAACAGAATTGTGGCCACGCCCACCGCCGCTTTGCTTGCCATATTGTCTTTGTTTTTTATTTTTACAGTGAAGTGTAGCTTCAGTGTGATGTTACGAAGATGGAAATGCATTCTCAGGAATTTATAGATTCGAGTAGAACACTAAGCACCACACACACTAAACTAAATTTAGACACTGCTGTCGTCTAAATTTAGCACCAAGTTTCAGGTTATTCCAACACATGTTGGATATAAATTATTGTATTGCCGATGTTTATGTTCCAATTTCATGTTTGAACCATATCAATATCTGTATCTATATATATATAGCTATTTATTTATTTAGAGCGAGCTAGCATGTTGTAAAATTAATTAAACTATATATATATATATATATATCGAGATGGCGCCTACAAATGAATTAAGGAAAATGAATAAATAAAACTTATTTACTTCCAAGCTTCCAAACATATATACTACATCTATTTAAAGACATCTTTAATTAGTACACAAAAAAAAATTAATTAATTAATTAGTTGATAAACTTGCTTCTATACAGCCAAATATAAACCACACCTACGCACGCCTGCATTATATTCATGGAGTTAAAGAGTTCATTTGTGTGATCGACCAACTCATCACTATGAGCCGAAAGAATTAGTAATGGAGACGCATGCATGCGCATGTGTTATGGGTTCAGCCCATTTATTCAATATTTTTTTATTGTTGGGCGTTTCTATGTCGGGCTTCTTAGTCCTTGTTTCTATGTCTTTTTGGGGGGAAAATATTATTTCTTGTAGAGTATGGTAGCAGGGCAGCCGAGCAGAGCAGGAAAAACAAAGAAAGCCGATAGGTTTTGTGTTTTTCGATTTTGAGTGCGCAGTCCCGATCAACTTGACGATCAGAGGGCTTTCCGTGGTCGGAGTTTGCTCAAATATGGTCAGCTTGTTCCAGACATCAAAAGCTTTATTTGGAACTGCTGGATTGTCCAATGGAGCTTCGATTGGTTCAAAAAATCAATTTTATCAGACAGCAGTCTTTGGTGACCTTTACACCTTATTTCTTGTTGTTTTTGATCTTTTTTTTTTCTTGATTAGTGTTGTAGGTTCTGAATTCTTTGAAGACTGATTTGAGGTTTCAAATCCACGGCATACATAAATTAATGAATCGATTTGTCAATCAACGACTAAGTCTAGCCAAATCCACGGCATACACAAATTAATAAATCGATTTGCTAATGAGTGGCTCCAGCCAAATCCACGACATACACAAATTAATAACCGATTTGACAATCAACAGCTAAGTCTAGCCAAATCCACGGCATACACAAATTGATAATCGACTTGTCAATCAATGGCTAAGTCTAACCAAATCCACAACATATAGAAATTGATAATCCACTTGCCAATTAACGGCTAAGTCTAGCCAAATCCACGGCATACACAAATTGATAATCGACTTGTCAACCAACGACTAAGTCTAGCGAAATCCACGGTATACACAAATTGATAATCGACTTGCCAATCAACGGCTAAGTCTAGCCAAATCCACGGCATACATAAATTAATGAATCGACTTGCCAATCAACGACTAAGTCTAGCCAAATCCACGACATACACAAATTAATAAATCGATTTGCCAATCAATGGCTAAGTCCAGCCAAATCCACGACATGAAAAAATTAATAACCGACTTGCCAATCAACAGCTAAGTCTAACCAAATCCACAGCATACACAAATTGATAATCGACTTGTCAATCGATGGCTAAGTCTAACCAAATCCACAACATACACAACTTGATAATCGACTTGCCAACAATCAACGACTAATTCTAGCCAAATCCACGGAATACACAAATTGATAATCGACTTGTCAATCAACGACTAAGTCTAGCGAAATCCACGGTATACACAAATTGATAATCGACTTGCCAATCAACGGCTAAGTCTAGCCAAATCCACGGAAGACATAAATTAATAATCGACTTTGCAATCAATGGCTAAATCTAGCCAAATCTACGGCTTACAAAAAATTATGAAATCTTAATGGCAAGTTCACCACATATCACATAATGAGATATAATTATAATAACCTATTTAACTAAAGCACGTAGTTAGATGGTCAACCATTTAAAATATTCATAATTTAATCCCTTACCTTACTTAGGGGAAGCTACCCAACTCTACTAGCACGGATTGGTGGGACTTGCTTGGGGTGGACTTCACCTAATCATCAAATTTGATCAATTAACTTACTCAAATTTAACGCAGATCTTATAAAATTCACTATAAATTCATCATTGACTCAAACATTATGAAACTAGTTCCAAATCAAAGCTAACGTTCCTGAGTTATATTTCAAAGACGAAAAATACAATTATTAATTTTAATTACATCCAGAATATCATCTTAAGTCAGATAGTCTATACACTTCCGAAAAATAGAGCAGTTGTAATATAAAAATCACTAAAAATCCATTTTACACTCAAATGGGACAAACTTGTCTGTAATGAAAGATAACACATATATCTCTATTTTAAAGTAAACAAAAACACAAAAAGAAGTTTAAGAAAGAACATAATAGAAGTTAAACATATTGAACAGATCCTTCGTCAAGAAACAGGGTGTGTAACTTTAAAAATTTATACAAAATTTATTCTATATCCAAATGGAACAAACTTGGTCTCTAATTAAAGGTAACACAGATATCTATATTTAAGATAAATCAAAAGTGTGAAAATATTATCCCAAAGTTACAGAAAATCCATCGAGTACTCTATAATATTTTCTTGTCAAGAAAATAAGTGTATAACTTTACAAAATCATATAAAATTCATTTGCTTTTCAAATAACTCATATAATATGTCACAATGAAGGGGGTGATAGCTAGGGTTTTCTTAAGAGTGTTTGGGGATGAAATAAAGGCAAAATATAAAGGATTAAATAATATTTTATATTTAAAAGTGGAGTTAAAGTCGCATTGACGTTTTTTTTTTTTAAATCGTATTTGAATATACAACATATTTTTGAATACTATTTTGGCTATAACTCTTTCGTTTGAATACGGAATGACTCACCGTTAAAAAACATATATATATTTTTTTAAAAAAACACACACCCACAAAATATTCACATATACCTAGAAAAGATAAAATTAATTAGTAAGAAAACAAATGTTTGTAATTTTTTTTAAAAATTTTAGTTTTATTACATAATTTTAAAATTATTATAAATTATATATTAAGTAAAACTTCCAGACCCCACCAAAATAATTTAATGGCTTCGTCGCTGCGTATTGGCCTTCACAGCCAGAATCATACGGCCTTCCCCCTCCATCTAGACTTGTATTGATAAGCCAAATAAGAAAAATAAATACAATGACTTAATTTGAGATGTGAATATCTGGAGGCACAATGCGTCAGACTTGGTGTAGACGAAGGCCTTCCTCAAACGGTGAGATAAGAAAACAACTATGTGTATCTTTTTATTTTTGGAATACTTGAGTCAATAAAATAAAAAGTAGGACCATGGCCACAAAAGGAAGGAGAGTCAATAAAATAAAAGGTGGAACCATGGCCATGTAAGGAATTGAGGCTTTTTTATGCGAAAACCATTGCAGATGCTCTTAGAGTAGAAGTCATCCATAAATTAATAAAGAAATAATTTTGCATACAACCATCATCCGCGCATACAAATTAATTATGCGAAAATTGCAATAAAATTTTAGTTTTACACTTAGTATAAAATACATATACACTACTCATATCTTAATATCATTCTTTTACACATTAGTTATTCAACATTTATATAAAACTTATAAAAGTTGCCTTAAATACGTGCTGAAGTATGATACATCTATAATTTGTTCATCTAACCAAAAATTTTTTGACACAATTCCCAATATATATATAATATTTATATTTTTTTCCCTCAAAATTTAACAATTCAATACAAAATAATATTTTTTATATTACCGACACGATTCTCATGTCTCACATAAAAAAAGAAATAAATCTCAAACTAAAACACTAAACAAACAAACCTAATCTTTTTCCAACATTTTAATGTAGATTAAAAGAAAGCTACGTATTGGCAAATAGGTGAATTGAAACATTCAATATGTGATGAGTTCAAAATATGTTATGATCAGTGTATCTTCTCATCAAATTCTTATTATTTGTGGACTTGATGCCACATCAATTCAGAAGGACAAAAAAAGAAAAAATAAATAAAAAATGAGAGGAATAAATGTCATTTGTCTCAAAGGCAAATCCCAAACCGGTCTTGATACTCAAAGTACTTCCAACATCAAGCTGAATTAATCTAGGTCATTCCATGAAAAATATATTTCCAGTTGATATTACACAATCGATAAAATAGTCATTTTCATTAAAACAATAACTTATTCAACTACAATTTCGCGGACTGAGGGGTGATAAGTAAATAGTCATAATTATCTTTAAATATATAAATCAAATCATTGTTATACTATCATTTAGACAAATTTCATTCAATCCACATAAAATAATGCAAGCAACCTAAAAATTCTTACGAAAAAAATTTCTTCCAACACTACGGAGGGCAATGAGCAAACCGAATATGGAAACTCCCTTGGTAATTGATAACACTGATTTTGGACATGTTCTCTTAATGGTTTATAAGTGGCAATTTTTTTACCAAATTTGTGTTTTAATATTGTCTTGCCATATGTGTTTTTAATCTCATATTGTATCATTTGATATGTCTTACTATTTTGAGAATTTAATTGCGTTTGGTGGCAGAAATGAGAAAATTCAATTTGTGTGGAAAACATTCTCACAAGGTCACGTGTTGACTTGTGGCACTGTCAGATTGTGAATATCATTCATGCTTGAGAGACAACGGATCTACTAGAAATCAAGAATATTAAGAGTTTTGTGTTCAATTCTGAAAATCACCACGATCTGCGTAAGAGTAAATCGTGACCATTCAAATTAGCGTATGGTAGATTGGACAGCTGAGAAAATTGGGTTAGATGGCAAATTGTAACCACAAACCTTCTAGAAGTTCTGCCTGTACGAGGT